AGGTTAATTACTGACATATTTCCTACACTTACCGGTATAATCAACAGCTGGATGAGATTGCGGCAAACGAGATATCATGTAATTCTGAAAAATACATTGTAAACACTAACTGTTGCTAAAAGCAATCAAAATTTAAATGGAATGAAAATATCCTCTCACATAAATCGGCCTTGATTCATATTGCGATGTGCGAACACTGGACAATATCACCTACAACGTAACTATGTTCGTAATTCTTTTGGCATCTTCACTAAAGACTTACCGTTGCTGTGACACATAGAAAAATGGTCACAAGAACTATTTTTTAGAGAATCGAACTATACAATTATTCTTGAATAATGATTATACAATTAAATGATTATTTCATCTTCATATTCATATTAATGTAGCCAACAAAACATACGACAGAGTGATCGCCTTGATAAAGCTGTCGTGGAAAACCAGTCGGCTGTTGAGCTTGAGTCTGTAAAGTAAATGAAGGAGAGTATTCAACACAAGAAAATATTCGACATTCTATAATTCAAGATATTTGCTATTACAAATCGATCATATTGATGTGCGATGTGTAAATAACACACAAACGGTGTCAATCTATAGCCAAACAATGAAACAATACCGAGTATACTCACTTTCCATACATTCCAATCTTTTTAAAATGTCAGATCACCAACATCACTTGATTTCTAATACATCGCAGTCGATGATATTATCACTCTAACGTACAGCTTCTCAAACATTTATTATTCTTATTTTACTGACCTGTATAATTTGGTAAGGTGGAGGAGCTGTAATTACCGCATTCGTGGATGGTGGCGGTATTGGCGGTGGTGGCATATTAGAAGAAGCTCCAATTGAGAGCTGTGACGGATATGGTGCGAAATAAGGCATCTAAACAGAAAGAAAATTACTAACATGGGAAAATAAAAACTGATGAACGGTTAAAGACATGTGCAGCAAATTCAAACATACTGATTTTAATCTGAAGTCTAATTTGAATAATTTAATGTAGCATAAATTTCGTACTAAAATATTATCCATTTGCAGATAAATGATTGACCTGGTACTGAGACATCAGCTGTTGAGCGTAGGGTGGATTGGCTCCAGGAACATACATACCAGCAGCGACACTTTGGATGAATTGTTGCTGTTGATTTCGTCGATTAGTTGAAGATGTTTGTCCAGCAATTTGTCCATGACGCCCAATTGGTAAACCAGCAGTACTTGCAACAATTGGACCACCCGTAACATTCGCTGCTGCGGTTGCTGTAGCTACAGCAGCATTTGGCGTACTCTAGAATACGAGACGATTAAATGCCTGAGGTTTTTTCCTTTATAGGAGATTGAAGTTCGCTTTATCCAGACCTATCTCGCCAGAATGAAAAATAAGGTATCAATATACCTTATGCTTGACAGTTCTATATTCCCCACAATTTCAGTAAGTTTTATTAGTATTTAGCAGAATATACCTGTACAACTGGTGTGTTGTAATAAAGCGGCATGGCGGCACCGTATGCATTAGCATGTGCATATGGGAACATTTGTGGTGGTCCAGCATGAGCAATTGAGGGCACATTCTATAAAATAATGAAGATTAATTACTTTTATTAAGTAACGACCATCAGTTTACCACCCTTCCTCATTTTTTTTTAATAGTCTTTCAAGCTAAAACCGAAGATGTCCATTAGCCTTTAAATTGTTAAATTAATGAAAAAATATGAGATGTAACAACTTTTGTGAGTCACCAATTTTGTCCAGTGGAATTCCAAATGCTGCTTTTACTAAAATAGCCAATCAATCATTGTTGGCAAACAATCGAACCTTGTTATTCTACAATTATATAATAGTCCGAAAAAATGCAAACGTTTACCTGAACAGATAAAGCTTGTGGATTGGCAAGAGCCAAACCTTGTATTTGTCCCGGTGCTGCGATGTGTGTTGACATAAGCGGTGGTGGCGCAGCGGGAGGTGTTCGAACGCTATGTAATGTTGGACGATAACTTTGTGGTTCAGTATTGCGGCAATTCGTTAAATTGCGGGGTACAAATGAGGGTGCATCCGGATTCCAAACGAAATGCTTCCTAAAAAGATCACTCTTATTCTGATTTAATGGTAAGACAATTAATTATTCATTAGCAACGAGAAATTCTTTGTTAGCACATCATTCATCATCACTTCATCTCCATGCAAGTACCCATATGATGTCATCATCACAGAAATTGCTGCATTCATCTTTGCATAATTAATTAATTGCAAGCGATACTTCTAATGTTGGCCATTTATACTTTTGAGAAGAAAATTTTCTCATTTGAAATCATTAGTTGATATGATAAAATTTGATCT